TATATCAACGAAGATTTTGGCCTCCTCTTATTTCTTAAACCGTATTAAAATATATTTCGCAAAATAGTAATTTTAGGAGAGTTACTATTTTGCGAAATGGACCATTTTCACCCATGCGGTGACAACGTGACCTCTTTCATGCCAAGAGAATACATCTAAACATTACAAATTCGTATATCACCGAACACTTTGGCCTCCTGTTATTTCTTAAACCGTATTAAAATGTATTTCGCAAAATAGTAACTTTAGGAGAGTTTCTATTTTGCGAAATGGACTATTTTCACCCCTGCGGTGACAACGTGACCTCTTTCATGTCACAAAAATACATTTAAACATTACAAATTAGTATATCACCGAACATCTTGGCCTCCTCTTATTTCTTAAACCGTTTCAAAATTTATTTCGCAAAATAGTAATTTTAGGAGAGTTACTATTTTGCGAAATGGACTATTTTCACCCTGCGGTGACAACGTGACCTCTTTCATGTCACAAAAATACATTTAAACATTACAAATTAGTATATCACCGAACATCTTGGCCTCCTCTTATTTCTTAAACCGTTTCAAAATTTATTTCGCAAAATAGTGATTTTAGGAGAGTTACTATTTTGTGAAATAGACAATTTTTACCCCTCAATAACTTTCTTTTCGGGTCACAAAAATACGCTTGAACATTTCATTATAGTATATTCTCGAAGGGTTCGGTCACCTCCTCTTTCTCTATTCAGATATAATTAATTTCTCAAAGTAGTAATGTCAGAAAAATTACTGTTTTGCGGAATAGCTAGGCTATTTTCACTCAGCGGTAACGATGTTGTTATTCTCGTGTCATACAATAGGTTTCCGGTAAGTTTCAATTTAAAGCACTATCAAATCTCAAAAGGTCTAAGCTAGCTTCACCTATATAAACGTCTTCTAAGTTTATTTCGCGAGGCAGTAATTTTGGAAGAATTACTGTTTTGCAAAATGGACCATAAATGATTTAAATGCCGCCTGAGAAAACTGACTCGTGACAGATTGGGTTTACAGGTCGCACCTTTCCTTGTACGTAAGTGTTTTAATTAGCTGTGGTCTGTACTTCTTCACTGCCAAGCAACAAGGCGGTGTTTTCCTTTCCTCAGCTTCAAATGATTAAGTAAGAGCCAATTAATAACTCCATATCAATAAACATGCAACAAGAGGTTTGGGCTAACAGGTTCATTTAATCAAAATCGACAACTGTGTAGTACCGTATTGCGTGACGCCGAAACCAAGTCAAGAGAGCCCCGCTAAAGGCCCAAACCGAGGTTGTGTCCAATTAATGACATGGGAGGGAGCAGAAAGTAAGAGGTAAAAGCTGTTTTTACTAGCGACGGAGCTATTCTAGGGGGAAGTTGGCATGTTCTCCTGAGAGATTTGAAAGACTCCATTTCGTGCATTTTGAAGGGTGTGCACTGTTTCGGTGCAAAACATGACAGTTTTCCAGTGGCGGCTAAACATGTTTAGACTCCGTCTCGTATAGAGAACAGAAGCATATCCATGCCGAAATAGTCGTCCAGCAGTTTTATAATCGCAAGTAATACAGTTACTTTGCTTCAAAATTTTTAATAAAAATAATATACATGGAAAAGTTACGCGCTTCTGATTACACCCCCGTCGCACACCTCTTCCTTACGAGCAAGAGATCGTGTTTCGCATTTGCGCAAGTTCCACGTGCTGCAAGAAGTTTGCTTTCTGCTCGCTTTGTGTGCTGCTAAATCAGGCAAGATTATGGCTTTTAAATTTCCTGTTCTTAAGCCTAAGACCATCGACTGTTCAGGTCTTCCAGTTCATGATTTCAAGTGTTTGACAAACAAGGAAATCATTGGTAAGGGCGCTTATGGTGCTGTGTTCACTGCTAACTGGCAGACTGTTCCTGATGCGGGTGGGAAATCGGCCGCTGCGGAGAAAGTCGTCGTTAAGAAATTGCTCGGCGAGGACATATTGGATAAGAAAACGTTTGTAAAGGAAGCAAGAATCATTCAAGAGTTGAAACATCCAAACATTGTGAAGTTCAAGGGAATCTGCAACAATCCCTTCGCCCTTATTCTCGAGTTCCCGCCCGCCGAGGGTAAATAATCCATTTCGCAAAATAAACATTTTTCGGAATTACTACATTCAATTAGTTTAGAAATTACTACATTTAAGAGGAGGTGACCAAGATCTTTGAGAATATACTATAATGTAATGTTTAAATGTATTTTCGTGACATGAAAGAGGTCACGCAAAATAGCAACTCTCCTAAAATTACTATTTTGCGAAATATATTTTAATACGGTTTAAGAATGGAGAGGAGGCCAAAATGTTCGGTGATATACTAATTTGTAATGTTTAAATGTATTTTCGTGACGTGAAAGAGGTCACGTTGTCACCGCAGAGGTGAAAATAGTCTATTTCGCAAAATAGTAACTCTCCTAAAATTACTATTTTGCGAAATACATTTTAATACGGTTTAAGAAATAAGAGGAGGCCAAAATCTTCGGTGATATACTAATTTGTAATGTTTAAATGTATTTTTGTGACATGGAAGAGGTCACGTTGTCACCGCAGGGTGAAAAATTCCATTTCGCAAAATAGTAACGCTCCTAAAATTACTATTTTGCGAAATGAATAAAAATCCTTCTTGTTAATGAACGATTACTCCAAATTCCTTGTGAAAGTTTTCTTTACCTTGTTAGAAAATATATCTGCATTATTCCTTTAGTTTTGTTCTATCTCAACTGATTTCGTTTCGTTTCGTTTCGTTTCGCAAAATAGTATAAGCCGAGAAAAAGCCAACGAATAATTCATGAATGCGTCACGCGTTGTGTGACTAGGTGTTAAGTTACGAGAGGAACCGTTGAAAATTTAAAATGTTATAAGGAATAACATAGGGAACGAAATATGGTCGATTTACAACGATAAATATTTCGAAATATGAAGATTTTTCTCGTAAAATCAATAAAACTTACTCATACCCCGTGTACCCGTTGTAGTTTCTGGCGATTTCTGCCGTTTTAAGCTTGCTTTACCATCGCTGTTATTCACATCATCTACTTTTATTACGTTGGTAAAATCTGTACAGACATCACACCAACCAACTCGCGCGCAAAGTAAGAAGACTATATTGAAGGCTTGAAATTGTATTACGATCTATTTTCATCAAGAAATGGGCCAGGAATTTTCCACAATAGTGTAAATAATCGTGAAGGCTGATCGCGGGAAAGCGATTGCGTGACGCTTGGTAAATAATATAAGCTGTAAGATGACATGTTAGTATCTACCGGACGTAAAAACTCTTCAGAATCTTAGTCTGCATTTTGTACCCACTCTGCATTCTGCAGTCTGCAGTCTATATTTTGTATCCGGTCTGCAGTCTGCTATCTGCATTTTGTACTAACAGGTATCCGTGGCACCAATATAGTTTATTTTTGGTTACATTTATTCGCACAACACATAATCTACCACAAGATACCTGTGTGTGAGGTAATTCGACGTTTTAGTTTTTTTCCGCGTTAATAATCTTACGATCGATTTTCATCTAGAAATGGGCAGGAATTTTCCACAATAGTGCAAATAATCGTGAAGGCTGATCGCGGAAAAGCGATTGCGTGATGCTCGGTAAGCTGTAAGATGACAGGTTACTATATGCCAGACGTAAAAACTCTTCAGATTCTCAGTCTGCATTTTGTACCCACTCTGCAGTCCGCAGTCTATATTTTGTATCCAGTCTGCAGTCTACTCTCTGCATTTTGTAGTAACAGGTATCCGTGGCACCAATACAGTTTATTTTTGGTGACATTTATTCGCACAACACACATAATCTACCACAAAATAGCTGTGTGTGTGAGGTAATTCGACATTTTCGTTCTTTTCCGCGTTAATACTCTTCTTTCCTTTTGTAAGAATGTAGACCACTTACAATGTTTCAAGTAATCCACCCACCCTACAAAAACTCTTGCATTCAGAGCATGCCTGTGTTTTGAAATAGGTGTATGCCCATAGCCAGACTTGAGCTCACTATTTCAGTATACTAGTCCGACACCCATAGTATCACTACACTTGATTCCAAGGATCCAGTACCATCCAGGTATCCCAGTTACCCTGCTGACAGGGTCTAGTTTGATGATAAAACCTGTTTGCTGTTGTATTTCGGTCACTGTTTAAGGACCTGTTTACACGGAGGTGGGGGACCCCAGGTAGGTGAGGTAACCCGCGTAGGTGGGGTAACCCGCCTGTCCATATAATTTCTTATTTTATTTTGATCACGTTTACATGATGGGTGGGGTGATCCGCCTAGGCGGGTTGCCCAGTCTGCCAGGTAGGGTAACCCTGTCAGCTGGGGTGACAATTTGCCATGTAAACGTGTCAAGGTGGGGTAACCCGCCCAGCCGGGGTCACGTTCATGGCAAAAAGTTCAAAAGCGAAACATGTATGTTTAAAAACTTTGAACTTTTCCTAGCCGTCTCATGCATACGTGTCCGAGAATTAATCTTTCGTCTTTTTCGAGAAGTGAGCTTGGGACGCCTCTGTTCAAACTCCTTAATTGCAAGCGCAACAACAACCTAAAGAAACCTCACCCCAGCACCCCGGGGTTGTAAGATTGCATGTAAACGCGGTTTATTTTTCGACCACGGCTAGGCGGGTTACCTCACCTACCTGGGGTCTCCCACCTCCATGTAAACAGGCTCTAAAGCATTCTCATTCGCGCCCCTGAAAAAGGTATGCGCTGTGAGTAACGCGTGGACACGAGTTACGTAGTGAAGCCCTTCATAGCATGAAGGTGCTGCTCCCCCTACCCACCCCTTCTTAGTGGTAATTCATAACCAAGGTGTGATGATGGTTAGTGGCTTATGGCACCATCTTTGTTTGAGTTCTATTAAACCCAAAGCAAATTAATCAAGTTGGACAACCAGAACAAAGGAAAATAACCCAAGAAGACTGACTGAGGATCCAAGAGTTTGTTCATTAAAATTTCAGTGTGTTTATAAACTAGAAGAATATGCCAAACACAACCAAAACTTCCCAGATATAAATACAATAGATGAAACCTTTGTAAACAAAGATCTTATTATAAAGGTGACATTTTCAAACAAAACAACCTTTTCTAAAATAAAACCAAAGTTAAGTTACACTTATACATGAAAAAGAAATTTTCAAACCAAAGACTTCTCCTTTTGTGTCACTAGTTTTAACTTATCTTTAGGTGGTATCAATTAAGTGGATTTAATTGTGCATATTTATTTTCTCTCAGTTTCAGTGACAAATATCTATTTTGAGTTACTGTTATTATGATATTTCAATCATGGATATTAATTTTTTGCTGGTAACAGTTGAGAAGCCACTACATGGATACCTTGTTTGTGAACCATTTTCTTAAAGTATTTACTCAAGCTATACATAAATGCTAAAAAGCCAGCTAATTTAGGAAAACAAACTTTGGCTGCTCTAATCATGATTGCTACACAGTTGTGTTTGTCAATTTTCATGAATTATGACTTACAAAGACTTTCATGTGTGCTTATAGTCAACCTAGGATTGATGACTACTGCAAAAAGACTCAAATTCAAATTCAAAAACTAAAAGTTTTTAAAAACACAGTTTATCAGTCTTTTTCAACTCCTCAACTACTAAAACAGTTATGCTCCAGTAATCTGTCCAATCTTTGTACTTTTTATGCTAACATTTTTACATTTACCGATTAACTCTCACAATTTAACTGTAGAAAACACCTCTCACATTGCTTGTTCTGCCACTGAAAATATTTCAGCACCTCATCTATATATCAGTACAATGTATCAGTTATAGTTAACAGTGGAAATATTTCCCTCCTCCTGCCAAACCACCCTAATATTGTACACTGTTCATTATTTCTAACTAATTCTCAATCCCTAATTTTTTCCAACCAGTCTTCCAGAATGGTTGCAACATCCCATCTCCCCATGTCATCATCTTTGAGTATCATTAAAAGACTTTCCACAGTTGATTCAGGATTTTCACGCCACAAATGAAGAAGTTCAAAAGTAGGATTACTTTTCTGTTCTAAAAATTTTGTCAAATCTTTATCAAATCCCATTTTTTCTCCAAGCAGGCGAAAATCTCTAAAAGACAAGTCATTCATTATGTTAAGTTTCATGCAGATTTTACTCAAAATAGAATAAGGAATATCTTTAACTTTGAGAAGCTGTCCTGTCTGATCTCTGTTTGATTCACTATCATTAACACTATTCGATATTGCTGCTGTACTATCCACCTGATCAAATCCACTCCCCTTTTTCTTGACCTCCTTTGCTGCTACTTGGCCCACCTCCTGAGTCCCTTCCTGGACAATTTCAACCTTTTCTTTGTAATCCTTGCTCTTACTTTCAAACTCTCTTGTAAGAAGGCTCAGTCTCTGAGCCCCTCTTTCGAGAGTATCAATCATATCCACATCAGCTTTTCTCTTAGTTTGGTTGATTTTCTTTTCTGCTGCAAGCCCCAGCTCCTGACTTCTAAGGTTGACATTTTCAGGCCCTCTCTCCTCATATACCATTACCTCCTCATGCTGCTGAACTTCTGGATACCCACCCCTTGCTTGATCAAACTCTTCGCTGTGCTCAACACATTGTTTGAAATCTTCTGAAGAAAGGAAAGAAAAGAGATTCTTTTATTTGAGTTGGTAAAAACAATCTGACTTTGGCCTGATAAATGATCTTTAAATTCCCCTGAATTGTTGCAACTAAGTGTTAGTAAGTTTTTCACAGCTCAGGGTACAGCCATACATTCAAAGTCCATGTACCTATAGTAAACAACTATAAATATGAAAATGAAAAATATATATTGAAACATACAAATAAATAACAAACCATAAAGTGTTTCTTTGTTCAATCTTTCCATGTTAAATTGGGAGTTGGAATGTTGTTCTTTTTTTGTGGAGGGAGGAAAACAAAAGTGTCTCATGTGAAAAATTCTTGAGTAAGGACAAAAACCAACAACAAAATGAAACCACATTTGGTAGACACCAGGTTTGAAAACTGAACCCAAGCCACATTGTAATAAAGTTCAGATATAACACATGCTGTCACTGGTTGAATGAGCATGCTCTAGCTCTCTATTTGTAACATTAAGAGAGTAAAAAGCAAGGGTAAAGTGACTGTATATAAGCCTAGTGGCCCACATAGCTAGAGTTTATCCAGGTCTCCTTGTAGCATGAAGCAAATAGGGGTATTACCACTCCCCCCTGGATGGAATGCTGGTCCATTGCAAGGTCCCCCCCCAAAAAAAACATTTCCTCAGGCTTCCCAGACAATAAGCTGGTAAAGTGTCTTGTCCAAGAATACAACACATTGACCCGCCAGGTCTTGAACACAGACCTCTGGCCACTGTGTCTCCCAATAAAGGGACTACATTAAGGACAAAAGATGTAAACACAGTACTAGTGAAAGGCAGTTGGAGTTAAAAGTATAAAAAGCAGAGTTTTAGTTTTGCTTTTTCAAAATATAAGTACTCACTATTTGCAGTAATTTTGTATTTCAATCATAACAGTTGTAACTTACAACTACATGAAGGTATTTGTAGGTATTTTATTGAATGATATATCATGCCATTGAAATGATCTCTTGCACAATGCAGCAAAAAAGTTGTGATAGTAAAACTCTTCAGAAAACAAGAAAAAAAACCCTGGAGTGAGAGCAAATTCAGGTAAATTAACAGTTCACCAACATTAAATTTTGCTATTGGAGCTAGCTCTCAAAGTGAACCTGCTCTTAGGATGGACAAGCACTCTGTGAATCTATGATAAATCAAACACACCTTGTTTGCTTGGAAACATTGTAAGCATTCTTTCAACAAGATCATCACACTGCTTCTCCCAGCAGTATTTTTTCTCATACTCTTTGCGAAGCTTCTTTGCTTCTGACATCAGATCTTCTGGGCTATTTTCTAGGACTTCCTTTATCCTCTCTGCCCAAACTTCGGGTTTATTTGATCTAATGACATGTTTTCCTCCAGAGGGTAATTTCTTCAGAGCCATTCCAAAACCACAATTCTGGCTGACAAGTACTGGGAGGTCAGCAGAAATAGCACGGAGGTTGGTTGTGCCAAAGCCCTCTGTTCGTGCTGGCATAATGATAAGATTGACCTGACACAACAGCCTCTTCCAATTTTCCAAGTTAGAACTTTGGAAAGGTCGCACAGTAAGCTGGTCCAGCTCAATCCCTTCCTGAAGGAGTTGGTTAATGAGGTCTTCAGTATCCTCATCTGGGTTGACAATATAGAACAGATGGCATGGTACCTCTCGCAAGAACGTCATGGCCTTGGCCGCAATATCCAGCCCCTTTACTTTGTAATACTTTGCAAACCATGTTGCACTGATCAAGATGCAGAACATTTCTCCAGGTTGTTGTAATGGTCGCACATCTACCAATTCCTTCATGATCCCTGGAGTTAAATCAATGACATCATTGCTCTTTCCACAATGACACAGCTCAGATCTGAAGGTGTCTGCTACTTTGGGACCAATTGCAATCACACAGTCTGCCTTCTGACTCAGTTTAAGCTGTAGCTGGTGCTCTAACTCCTGCTGATATTTCTTATCCATATATTTAGCAAGTTCTTCACTAATGGTATGGATGATGTGAAACCATTTACATTTCTTAACCGCCCTTATGATCTGTGCATGTTTTCCCTCATGAAGCCCATATGCGTGCATGACCAAAACATCAATTTCAAGATAATCTGGTGGGATAATCAGGCTTTCATTATGTGAATAACCAACCAGTTCTTGGCCATCAACAAGTTCAACATTTAACTTCTTGGCCTGTTCTTTCTGTTCCTGGGTGCTGCTTGGCACAAGTCCAGTCACTTTCACTTTTGGATTTTTTGCAAGTTCAATAAGTAACTGGTTGTTCACCAATGTGTTCCACCCAACTGCACCAGCGGCCAAGGTTATGTTTAATCTACATTTCTCCATATTTTATTGCTGAGAAGCCAACTGTGAAAAAAGGAGGAAGGAAAACAAAATGTGATTTGAAAATTCAAACTCGACTGTGTCGTCTAGAGTCAGGTCTACAAATAAATCAATAGGCTAATCCTGCCAGAGCTGGTCTCAGTTTATAGGGCATTGTATAACTAAGAGTATTTGCTCTAAGGAATGACGTGACTGATGGGTGACTGAAATAAATTTCAAAAGCGAGCAATGAAGAAGAAAGCTTATGACTAAGTGGTGTTCTTGAGGCCCTGAGGCGTTTCCTCGCAAAGCTATATTCAAACCATGAGAAACTTGAAATTTAAAAAATTCGCTGGATGTACATATGATAATGGAAGTGGTAATATGCTTAAATCTCATGCGTTCCTGGTTTACTTGGAGATTAATTTGGACGAAACACACACGATAATCATAACACTTAGATTTTCAGGCCTTAAAGCGATCAGACGAGTAACCACGCATTGCCTAAATATTGATCTAAAACAAAACTACATAGTGGTCAACAACCTAAGAGCTGAAATCAGCTCATAAGCGAGCAAAAGATGAATAGGACTAACACCGACTCCCTCATTTTCATTTCTTTGTGGGGAATGCATTGCGTTTTCCTCGTTCGGTTTTAATGTTTTGAAGATTAGCTGCATTAATAACCTACCGACGATCAAGTCGGGGAGAATTTAAATTTTTAGAAGTTTCCTGAGAAGTAACAGCTGTATTCATTGATGATCCCAGTTGAGATGGTTTTCTTCGTTTACAATCCTCATCTCAGCACCTCAGTGACCACCAACCATGATATTGATTTAGATTGCGCATGTCGTTAATAAAACATCGACTAGGGGACACGGCGGCAAAATGAGTGCGCATGCTTGGAAATTTACGCGAGAAAAGGAATGGGAATGACAATATTTCCATAGTAACACTATGGCGGCGATATGGCGGCATTTTTAAAATTCATCTTGTTTGTTTTTATTTGGCGGGGATAAGCCCTAGCCTTGACAGATAAGGTTCCCACTTTCAAGAAAGTTTCTTTCAAACCTGCTCTGCAACATATCTTTCCCCAAAAAAAATATTCAGGGCACAGGTGTGAATTTTAGTATTGAAGTGGAGCGGTCGTCACACGGCAATGAACTTCGTAGCCCTCCGTATTGTTATAGCACTTGTTTTCATTGTCTCCTCAGTATGGCAAACTGCCCAGCCAAAAGGTTTGTTGTTTGGGAGAAAAAAAACGCCAAAGCTCCTCTTGTAGAGGAAGCATAGTTGCCTTCAACACTGAAATAACTCGTAGCGGAGGTGGAACCAGGAAATGTTGTCTGAATGTCACTATCAGCAATTCGTAAAAGGAGCAACACCTGATCGTACCCACTACTTTCACATTCTTCCCCTCTGAGTGATACAACTATTCCCATGAGACAGTACAAACTATTTGACAATGCTGGAAAAAGTGAGGCTTGTTATCAACCAGGGACACTGTGGTGCACAAGTTGTTGGAGCAATGCTGACAAAACATTTGCCTCAAGGACCACTTTACTTTAGGTGTTATACTCAAAGGCTTTAATTTCCTGCTGGATAACCTGGGTTTACATACTTCACCCATTTACATAATAAACAATAAAGCAAATGATCACCTTGTTTCCATGAGAAGATCAATAACTTAAACAAAAAACATTCATGCAAAATGGAGATGGGTGCCATGCAAAATTCAGCAGGAGTGCCAAGCAGATTCAACAGATGGTCAATGTGATTAACAAGCTATGACAGTTAAATATATGTTGCAAAACTTACTGCTCTACCACAATTCAATAGCTCAACAGAGAGAGTCAGGAAATTGGTGCACAGGCTGGTACATCCAATTTCTCAACATTTATCTCAGTAAGTACCTTACTTATGCCTGGACATAATCTAAGACAGGTAACCAATCCACCATGTTGCTAATAATCATAGTTATGCTGTGATTGCACCTGCAGGGTTAAACATCTCCATGACAACATCGATCAGGTAATAATATAACACTGATAGAGGTTCTGCACTGAGCTCATATTTTACAAGTAAACACATGTTCATTGTTGAAAAATACTTACAGAGTGGTCAAATACATTATTATTGTGTTTTCTATATAATCTTTCAGAGCTGGTGGAAAAATTTCAGTCAGCCTTGTACAGGCACTATGAGAGTGCGGGTCAATCTCTATACAGATCTGATGATATGCAGGCACTTTGTGAGACTTGTGCACCACATCTCTTTTACATCCTCATCAGTACAATAGTGAGTGCAAATAGACATGCCACCAGTGAGAGGCATTCACATTCACAGCAGCAAAGAATAGTTGCACTACTTCACAAGTTGCCTACCTGCCTAAAGTTTTGCCATTAGAAGAATAAAAAATTATTACATTTTATATAATTTACAAAATTGCCATGTCAGCTTTATTCTGACAGTGTCAGCAGTCACTGGTAAAAAACAACCTTTGTTCTTGAGTATGATAACAGGATAATATGCAATTTCCCTTAGATCTCAGAAAACATCACAGCTCCAGAAATAAGCTGAAATGTTCCTTGATATTCATGGGTTAACCAGGTCTGCACAGACTGCAGGGAGAGTCTTGGACCTTAGCAGTGGAATATGTATGAACGACATGTTTAAACAGCAGCAGGCAAAACAACCATGAGGAAGTTGTGGAAAAAACTGTGCTGACAGCCTGCAGGATAAAGCAGAACAAATAGAATGAACAATAAACATAAACAGTTTTGTAAAAACATAAGCAATCAATGAAATGGATATTAATTTTTTTTTTAAGACCAAAAAACTTGTTAACCATCTTATTGATGACTTTCATGTTATGAATATGCCTACTAAACCAACTGATAAAGTTAATGTGGCAATTCATATGGCATCAAGTCTCCCAGCCATAGCAGTTGCCCATCCATTTGATGGAGCAATGATCCTTTTCTAACAAGAGTAAATGAAGTAGGTGATTCCTTCACTAAAGGTATTATAGAGCATGATACAAGTAGCAACATTGCAGACAGCCACAATAGTCATGAACAGCCCAAAAGCCAGCTAGCAATACATGCCTCTAGGTATTCAGACTTTTACAAGTCCCATGACAGGGGAAATATGATAACTAGAAGTATGGAACAGCTGATTATACCACAACCGAGTGTTCCACACAGGAAAACTCAAGAAAGAGGACATAGCACAAAAAGGCCTGCTTCAGTTGTAAATTCACACCAAAACTACTTTTCAATTGTGGGTAACCTTGCTACCAAAGATCTTGAGGTTCTCACCTTACCCACCCTTACCTTTTACAATCACACAATCAATCTCAACAACAACACCATCAGTAGCTCAACAACAGTTTTCTAACTTAAGTATACCACCACAATCCACTTCAATACATGTTCCATCTTCAACAACACAATCAGTCACATTCTGGGAACTGCCAGCCTTCCTATCTCACTCAACAATTGGGGGTCGTCAAGGCAGCAATGCTTGTACAGTTATTTCTTTGTTTTAAGCAAAGACATACTTAACAAACAAATCTTTCCTTCAACTGAGAAACCACCAACCACTGACTCCAAGCTGGATGTCATGTATGATGGGGGGGAAGTCAGGTATATGACAGTTTCATGCAGTCATACCTCTTGTCAGAAGCAGCCTGGTTAGTTTAAGTTATGAAAAGGAGTTAATTGTTTGTTTTGTGAAGGAGACTAATTCAAGTGAGGAATCTGCTTTGAGTTTCCACCTAGTAAAAGACTTACCAACACAAATGCTGCTTTTACGATAATTAATGGTTTAACGATTTCATAGGTAAGTCATGCAAATGACAACATCATCTTAATGGATAGACACCTCCTCTTACCAAAAGGCACCTTACTTGCACAGTCTCAACGCAGTGACATTGAAGAACTATTAAACTGGCTGAAGTCAAAGCTATCTGCGACGGTGAATTTGTGTACGGTTACTTTCATCAACTTCAGGTAACACTGTGTGGTAAGAGATGCATGTAAACGTCAAACAACGGCAGTTGATCGAAAAGTTATATCGACATATTTCCAGACGCAAAGAAGGTTAAGATATGTGTCAAGTATATATGTTATTGCATCTATTACATTTACGTTATGTTGGGGGAAGCAATTGGGCGGTATTGCTTAGTACACTGTTACATTGAGCTTGTGTCGATCAAAAGATCGTTCACTCAAGCAAAAAGACCGACAGATTCAAGACTAATTTCGATTGTAAAACAGCTTTTATTACCACAAGAGATTACATCAAAAAGGTTTTCAAGTTTAAAGCATGTAATGAACAAATAACGTTGATGAAATGCGTTTTGTAAATAAAATTGCTGAAAGGAACGGGAACACGCAACGAGCTGTCTGGATAAATCTAAATCAGCTTTAGTTGAACAATGTCTAGAAAAATTCTACTTACCCTTCAGATTTTTCCATAAGAACAAACTCCATTAAAAAATTTCCGGTTGGATCACATCAATATCAGTCCCAAAAAGTGTAAAACGATGTTCTGTTCGTTCTTCAGCAAACTTCACCCACGCTAGAATCACTAATCGCTCCTCGAAAGCGCGTAGTCCGCCGAGCATGCGCACTCATTTTGCCGCTGTGTCTCGACAAGGAGATCACGCGCATGGCCCGATTGTACCGGAAGTTAAAATATTTATTTGGCGAAACAATTTCATTCTTGCACGGTCTGAGTTGTATTCACTTCACCCGATTCGCTCGTAATTAACCGCTTACATGCGGATTTAATTAGCATCAAATTAACCGATACAAGCGGTCAAAGTAGGGCCTATTTACCTTTATATTATAATAAAGTTCGGATATAACGCGCGCTGTCATTGGTTGAAAGAGCGTGCTCTATGAGAGTATAGAGCATAGAACTGAGCTAAAGCTGTCACGCCATCTACCAAATTGTACCATGTTCGACCTTTTCCAGGACTTCTTTTTAGCTTTTTTCCGATAATTGAAAGTGAAATTTCGGAACAAGCGAGCCGGCAAGTAGTAACAGAAGAACCAAAGAAAGGTTTTTAAACAAACCAGGCGCCGTTATTTACGTTATTAAAACGTGAGCAGATACGAAAATCCTCAAAGGAAAAACAAAATAACCATTCCGAGTTTTAAAGATTTTCACGCTCAGTTAGATTGCAAGCTTACGAACGGTAATAAAAATCGAACACAGCTAACACTCGTATAGTATATAAAGTTCAGTGTTCAAAAACAAAACAGAACAAAACAGAAATGATGAAAAATATAACCAAACTGGCATAATTGTTAAAATTCATACTAATCATGACGGTGTCTGAGCGAATATGATCATGCTGAAGTTCATCGCGGCTCGTTCATCATGGCGATCTCCGGTCATCACAGTAAAGCAAGCCTCAGAAACTACATCGGCCGCCCTTCGAGTGAAAAAAATAAGAGCTTGCTCTGATATCCTTTACGATACGTTGAGTGGCAATTCACATCAGTCACTGCAGCCGAGTTTTGCGGCGCTGTCATCACGAGCGATCTTCATGTTCCGGTGAATTCGGCTGTCGTTCATTCAAAAAACACTCGCCTTGAACAGTTTGTTTTCTACCTTGTCATGTGGAAAAAAATCGCGTGTTTTTATGAGCCATAATTCGGCTGAAGTTCACTGAACATTTCACTTCAAGATTCTGTATTAGAGACTTACAAACTTCAGGCAAAAGTATTAAATTCGATTTGCCGAACTATTTTAGTTTGTAAACTATCATAGAATGTGAACTTTGATGGTTTGACACTTTTGGCAGCTTTAGTC